ATAAAGTCAGTTGTATGAGAGAAGTATCTGGAAGTGAGATATGCCCTTTTATCGTAGGATTCTGTGGTGTACTGATATGACCTACTGATATGACACCGAAATAGTAAGTGGCTACACATTCGAGAAACTTTTTCATACAACTGAAAAAGGAACTTTCATGAAGTTTATATATATTTGAGTAACCTGAGCTTTTCTTGCTAGCTAAATTATTTTGATACCATACAACTGATATAGCAAAACAGGCAGAAATATAAATTTATTCAGAGGTGTGGTCTGTAGGTAAAGTCCACTGACTCGGGACTAATCACTGCAATATTCATCAACCCGCATTTACATGATCCTTTAATCTGTGTTTCATTTTCGTTTATGCTACAGGCAACATGAGTGGTGTAAACATGGGACATGTGCAGAGAACTGCTCAGAAATGAAGGGAGAGATGAACTATTTCAAGAAAGGAATTGATCTGCATGAACAAATAAGATTATATGTGTAAGTAAAAAATGCAGCTATTTACATCACTATATAATATTCCATTGTTACATTGATATGCAATCTTGGGCATAATCTAAACTGGATCCGTTTACAAGATTTTACTAAAAACTACTTGTTGCCTTCTGAATTGCAACTATCAGAAGCAGTCAGAGTTTTGACTCATTTCGTTCAAAACTACTTTTAAGGGTTTATGACCAGAGAATGAAGGGATTGCCACTGGAATAACAACTGTAAAGCTATTATACTGTTGTAGACCAGGGACGTATCCAGGGGGGGGGGTGAGCCGTGGCTCCCCCCCTTTGTACACAGTGTAAAATTTTTAAAGCTTTTTTCTTAGCCAATACAAATTATTTCCTAGGACCACTCAAAATGAATGTTTCTAAAATACGTAAAAATGCATCAGTACTCGTTTTTCACAGGCCTGGCCTACTATAATTATAACATATGTCTAAGCGTGATTTTTAAAAATCCATAAATCGCAGGCCAAGTCTTTTAAGTTACGGAAATGTGATACTGTATGGCTCAGTTTGGTTTTTATCCTTTTGCAAGCTTCTTTAAAGTAGGGCCTATTGTTTAATAATACTATACTATTAGCAATAATAATAATAATAATAATAATAATAGTAATGATAATAATAATAATAGTAGTAATAATAATAATAATAATAATACTAATAATAATAATAATAATAATGGTGAGGATGATGATGATAATTGATAGTATTAATAATATCAAAATGTGAAGGAAATTGTGCTAAAGGTGAAAAATAAAGTGATTTGTTGATGATAGTTATAAGCTTATATATTAAATTATAGTTAGGTCAAGTTGTCCTGGATATCAAGTAGATATCTGATAAAGTACATGAGAAAGTTGTTGGCGTTTCATTTTGACTATGTAATGGTGATGTGATGATAATGAATTTTACTACATGAAAGTGTGATTTCCGGCCATCTAGAGGTACTATTTCCTCAAATTTTCTCACCTCAGCCTCAACCATGGTGGGGCTGAGGTGGTTGTGAAATCACAGTTTTGAGGTATGTAAAGAACATACTCAAAGACAATGTTTTTAAGCTTTGTTTTCTATGATATATCACACACATTAATAAGATCTTTTTGGTTGCAGAAAAACCTTTATGAAAAAGACCATGAGATTTTATTTTTGGCGCTTCATTTGGACTACCGGTAACGGTCATGTGATGATAATGAATTTCACTAAAAGTTTTGTTTCTGGCCATCTAGAGGTACTATTTCCTCACATTTTGCTCCTCAGCTCCAACCATGGTGAGTCTGAGGTAGGTGCCGACTTACAAAATGTCCTCCCCCTCAACCTTACAAAACAGATCTGCGCCCTTCTGGGTGTGAAATTAAACTACATCGAGTCGGCACCTGACTCAGAGTGTGTCTTGTGTCTGCTGAGGAGAGGGGGCATAAATTTGTTTTTAGAATGTGATCTGGTTTTTCATGCTTATGACTATTTTAGATAAGAATTTTTTTTTTTTTTTTGAGGAAAAAAAAAGGAAAATTTAAATTCAAATTTAAGTATGAAAGTGTAATTTCCGGCCATCTAGAAGTGCCCTAATCATAAATTTTCTTACCTCAGCCCCAACCATGGTGGGGCTGAGGTGGGTGGTTCCTCAGTCTCTGAAAATCCCTCCCTGGGACACCTCTCTTTCGAATTCATGGATTCTGTTGATTTATTATAATTATTGCTGGGCCTACTAATATTATTTATGATGTGTCTAATACAATTTTCACTTTAACCTCTCAAAACAGTCCTTAAAACGTTCAGAGTGCGCTACTTCACAGGGGGGTGTTCGTCCCCCTGGACCCCGCCGGGGTCATACGTATCTCGCATAACGGCTCCCCCCTTTCAAAATCCTGGCTACGTCCCTGTTGTAAACCCTTAAGTATTTCTTGATATTCCTCATTTTATTCCGATGAAATAATGAAATAGGTACTTGGCAACTGTTTTATGATGATTTTGAAGTACTTTCAATAAGATAATTAAAAAAATAATTGGAGGTCTTCATTTTTCGGGTCTTCAGTCTTCATTTTGTAGACCCTCTTACAGGGTGTCTAAAACAAAGACCCTTGAACATTTCACAAACAGACGGCCAAAAAATGTCGTAATTTTGATTTGGTGACAGCCTGGTGTATTATCATCAAAATAAAAGGGAAAATTAGGGGTCTTCGGTTGAGAACTGTACCATTATGGTTTTAAAAGTGTACCTTACAAATGGTTTTCTAATTACTGTGTCTCTCCAATAGAAAGCAATTTGTTTATTATAACTCTGTAAAGTCTCCTCTTATAAATGTTGGCTGTGGTGTCCCACAAGGGTCCATTTTTGGCCAATTACTCTATTCTTTACTTGAATGATATTTGCCACACATCAAAATTGCTAACTACAATTTTATTTGCCGATGATACCACCATCTGTTACTCACATGAAAATGTGTCTGTATTATGTAACACGGTTAAAATGAGTTAAAAGAAGTCTGTAATTGGTTTATCAATCAAACAAATTGTCATTAAATACTAAAAAAAAACAAACACATTTTATGTACCTGGGCACCCGTTTGCAGACTAAAAATATCAGCGCTAACTGTAATATTTATCTCGATGAGTGTAAGTTAAATAGAGTCCATGAAGCAAATTTTTTTAGGAATAACTATTGACGATAATTTGACGGAAAAAACACATTGAAAATGTTTGTAAATCTTTTTACATTGTAAAACATTTTTACTATTTAAAGGCTTCATTCTATCAACTGTACTGCTCATTGTTTACTGTATTTAAACTATGGTTTGCTACTATGGGGAAATGCCAGTAAAGTACATCAACAAATTGTTTCTATAACAAAAACGTGCCTTAAGAGCCAATATCACACAGTTCGTATCTGAGTTCAACTAAACCATTATTTCTTAAATATAATATTTTGAATATCTTTGACATGTATACAAGTGAAGTTGCTATTTTTATGTACAATTCAAATATATATTCAGAATAATAATTAGCTACATATAGTCCAGATTGCAGACTTACTATAGTTGCTCAAACTCATCATCAAACAAATCAGTCTATCTATTTAATATTCAGCATAATAATTACCTATATATATAGTCTACACGAAAAGTACTTGGTTCATTTCTGTTGTGTTTTTTGTTAACTGATGATGGGTTGAAGGTAACCCGAAATAACTATTATTATTCTAGCTCTCGTATTCTTTCTTACCAGGGAATCGGATGGAGCCAGGATTTGCCCGAGCAGGGTCCAATGTTCAGGGGGGGGGGGATGCCCCGACGAGGAGGAAAAAAAGGCTTATTTAATCGATTTTAGAGTCTACTAATATTTACAAAATACATATATATTTTTTTTTCTCCTTAACGAATTATGGTTTTTCTCCCCGACCAATGGGGGGGGGGGGGGGCGGGCGCAGCTATCCCCGAATTGGCCCTGGCGCAATCCCTGTTTCTTACTATTGAAACTGCCTTACAATGTTCGTTGGGTTCGGTTTGTCCCCAGAGGAGTTGGGTTTGTCCTCCTACCATTAAATGGGGTTTCAGCCCATTCTGACGATTCTTATGATGTGTATTCCAATAGTAAAGTATTGTATTGATTAAAACGGGGAACAGTGAACCTGATTGAAATGTGTGTTTGATTGAATCACATTGTCTTGTGTAGGCTATGTCTGTATGCATCAATTTCCCTTTTTTAGGCCATATCAGTACATCATGATTCAAAATCTTGATTCAACTGTCATAAAATGCATTTTCAATGGGCCAGTATATTAGCAACTGTAACTTAAGGTCAAACTTCTTAAACAAAAGGTCTTGGTCCAGACGTCACTACACAATAATAATTGCAATATACTTGTACAGTATAAAGAAAAATCGGATGTCTTCCGGCCGAAACAGGATTGTCCAGGGAGGGGTGTAGAGCTCACAAATGTAAAAATCTGCCACAAATGTCAAAACATTCTACCCGCAAATGTCAAAATAACTGCAAATGTCATAACATGTCAACCACAAATGTACAAAAAAAAAACCACTCACAAATGTAAAAATCTGTTTAACATTTCACCTAAAATAAATATAAAAATAGGCTCCCGCTCGGAACATGTGTCTACTGCTGCATTGACTCATCAAAGAACACATGACTTGATTGAAAGTAACTGTAAAACCTTGGTTTGGGCACAGTATGTACATACAGTAGGGTCTGTGTATTCGGGATGAGATCTACTCTTTTGTATACTGTATTTGTTTTTGATGATAAGATTATTGTCGAAACATTGCAACCTATTACAATGGCATTGAGTATGTGCTTTGAACATACTATTATTGAGAATAATCATGGACTTGCCGATGTCGCATTATCGTTGCACGCGTAGTGGTGAATCGTAGCGGGTTGTGCTTTGTGGTGTTGTCGTTTGGGAGCAGAGAAATTAGCGGGGCTTAGAGTGCCAGGCTTGGACGGAAAATGAGTGTTACTTGGAATGTTCAGTGCAATTTGGTAGCCGATCGTTAAAGGGGGGGAGGGGAGAAAGGCCTATCTCTGCGGTATGAGGCGAAGCAATAGCGTGAAGGCATGTTGGTAATATGACGATAACTATCGACAATAAATACTGTACCTTTTGAAAATTACCAAGTGTGGACGGTTTCGGTTAAACATAAAATTATTGGATATGAACGATGTTATTATTTCTAAAGATTATATGACATCTTTTTTTTAAATTGTATTTTCTAAAAAGAAAAGATCGTTTTTGACATCTTTGGTAGATTGTTATCATCAACATTGTAAACAGGTCTTGACAGTGACAGTTCTGGTAGTTCTATAAGCAGTGTACCAGTACATGTGGCATGCAGTATTTCACGAGTGCATTGAGACTTAATTTTATGTAGGCTTGCGATTTTTTTTTCTTTTGGTGGAAATGTCTGTACTAGTCGTTGTAACATTTGAAACTTGTGTATTTGTATAAACAGGTGTATGGAAAAATGGTCAGAATGTTGTTTATAAAATATCGAAATTAGGGATTAAAGAGAGTAGGCAAATATAATCATGTCATTTACAGTTTTGTGTGGCTGTTGCAAGTCACTGTTGTGGGCGTTTTTTTTCTGAGCAGGATATATTATGGCCGTCAGGGTCGAGGAATCGACACTCAGTTGGGATGGGAGCAGATGGTGTACACCTTTGATGTAGTCTGCTGAAGAAAGAAATGAACAGACGATAACAAAAAAAGTAACAGATTTAATGAGGACCAATATCCAACATAATTGAAACAAGTACTCTAGTACAGCAGGGCTGGAAATTAAGGGTTATTTGGTCGCATTTGCGACCAAAAATATCGCCGCCAGTGACATGTATCTCGGACGCACACATGGTTTGTGATATGTTACTCTGCGAAACCTTTGTAAACACTAGAACGTGTGACGATGTTCTCTGACGATTAATACTGAAGTTTCGAATTTGGAAGGCGTACCAGTTTTTTTTTAAATAATTCTCAATAATAACAACCATTGAACAAGAAAATGAAACTATAGATCTTTAAATATGTAGATATAAGATACTTTGCTGAAGTTGTATAGGCCCAGGCCTAATGTTCTAGGCTACATTATAACCTAAAAAGTGTCGCCGGCCGGCTGTGTGATGCCAATTTTTTGGGCTTAAAACGAAGCCTAAATGGCCTTTGACAAGTGGGGAGCCGGAATCTCGGCACTCCCGAAATGTTGGTGAAAACTCTGGAATTCTGTTTAGGTTGAAATTATTACATGTAAATTGATTTATCTCATAAAGACAAAATTCCATCCATGCATATTAAAAATACTGCCAATTTCAGCGCAAATGTTGCAGTAAAGTAGGCTACTTGTAACCAATGTATAGGCATTCGCAGTGTTAATGCGATTCTGCAGACCTATTTTCTGGAAATTTCCTACACAAATGAAGAAAATACTGAAAAATTTAAAGGAAGTTTAAAGAAAATATAATTAATGTTTCAGTAATAATAATTAATAATTTTATAATCAATATATCAGTCCACTTAAGTAACTTTAGATTTTGGCAGTCCATTGACCAGACAGTTTAGCTAGCACATTATTACTGCTCATGTTTTTCTTTTTTATATTGTGTATATAATTAACTAAGCCAACACATTCGACCTATTTGCACAGTTTCTTTGTATGATAGTTAAATAGTTGAATTTTAAATTTAGTACCTAAATTTAGGGACGGCTGTTTTAAAGCCATCGCCAGAGGGCGTGATCGTAACTATACCAACGTGTTGACCTATTAAAGGTACATTGTGTTCAAACCTTGGTTGCTCATCATTTCTGTCTGCCTACTACCACACCAAACCAGATATCACAGTACTACATTTCCACACCTGCCATCGTTGCACCTTTTAACATATTGAATAATGTAATTAAATATTGAATCCTTATAAAATTTTCTACACCACAGCCATGCAACGTAAGGCAAAAAAAATCAGTTTAGGCAACGTATGTTTGTTTGCTGATAGGTATTCGCCCCTGGCTACTACATAATTTTTTTTTTCGAGACGCTTGACATACTAGTAGTACTTTGATAAGCTCTTTATTTACATATATATGTAAATTAATTGTTGTCTGTATTCACATTGATGGCTTTTTCCATCGATCATGGCCACTAAAATTCTAGAGGCGTATCACAAAATCCAAGGATTAACATCGGTAATTATTTAAGTCAATAAACTATTACTGTTAATTGGAAATCTTTTTTCTCAGTGCTCTTGAATCGGAGAACATCATTCCTGGAAACCACTATTCTTTGTCCAACGTAACCAATGCAATTTCAACTAAATTCGAAGTTCAGCCCAGAGTGATGTGTTACCATGACTCAGTAAGTTATTTTTGACAACATATTTAAAAAAAAAATCTTATGCATGATACTGAGTTTCTTTTGTCTTTTTAATTTTTAAAGTTGCTTTCCACAGCATGAAATTGTTTATGTTACAAAATGGATACAATCTATATTAGAGTTAGCTAGAGTTTTGTTTTCTTATACAGTTTTTTTGTCTACTTCCCCTTTGGGGGGTCAGTAGACACTTAGCTGTTGCCTGTAAGTTTACTTTGTAAGAGTAAATCCGGTGGAGGTGCATAATGAGATATTCTGTCATTAACTGAAATTTGCGAGCCACTATCTTAGCAAAGAACAGTATAACAGAACTGTATGTGCTAGTATAATGGAATTTATTTGGGCTCTTTTTGGGTGTCCACATCGTTATGGTCACGATAGTCAATACACATTTCATAAACTCGTCCGTATAGTTACTAGAGAAGGAAAAGAACACGATTTGATGAAAAAAACGACAGAAAATAGATTTAGAACTGTCTGCTGGTCTGACATCAGTTGAGCTACTACCCACATATTCGAGTGTGTAGCGATCACTTCGTTAGCAGTAAGTGCTTGTTTAGGTCTAGCCTGTCNCCCCCCCCCCCCCCCCCCCCCCCCCCGTCGAAGAAACCTAGCGCAACTCCGATCAAGCCTAGGCCACTACTTCCTTTACTACTACTAGGCCTAGCTAGGTTGGTATCTGGTCAGTTGGTCAAAATCCGGTTTGTCGAGTTTATGCTACTTCGCTGAAACCCTGTTTGCCGAATCCAATTTGCCCGATTTTTGCCGTCACCGCCGTAAGCGCATCACTTTACTATTTTGAACTAAATGTAATACAGTAATGGCAATTATGTAGGCGAAACCGAATGTAAACTTAACTCATACATGCCAACACTCCCGTTTTGGCTGGGAGACTCCCGTTTTGGTGACCTGAGTTCCGGCCAATTTTTTCTCAGGTTTTTTCACATCCTCTTCCAGTTTACAGAGAAAATTGCATAGGCGTACTTATATATTAATTTGTATATTTTTCTCCGCGAGTGGTACAGTGACTGAAACTGTTTTATGTGAAGGTTACAAGAAGATTGTTGAATACAGAATAGTGACGTAACCTTACGTTGAATAATTAGACATGAAGTTACAGTTGCTAAAATCATGAGAACCAATTTCAAATCTACTAAGGCAAGAAGATCATTTGGTTCCTCTGATTTGTATAATTTTCTCCGCGAGTGGTACAGTGACTGAAACTGTTTTATGTGAAGGTTACAACAAGATTGTTGAATACAGAATAGTGACATAACCTTACGTTGAATAATTAGACATGAAGTTACACCGTTACCAAATGTGGCAAAGACAAGCCAAACCAGTCACTCGTCGCAAATCATGTTTCAGAGAAAATGGCAAAAACATGCTTGAATGTCAAATTTTTTAAAAATCTATTTTATTTCACTAAACTAACCTTTATATATCTACTAGCTATATACCTGTCCTTCGGACAGGAATCAAGGCAAACTGAATGCATGAGACTAATTTTTTTTTTAAGTATTTCATATGATAGTGCTATCGAATGGAATTGATTAAGCCCTGATGTACAGTCTTCTATCAATTAAAGTATTTTCAAGAACTAAATTTGTATTAATAATTAATTTAAAAAAACAAAACAAATTATAATAGTATAAACATTGCATAAATGCCTAATTTAATGTTTTCTTGCTTTGTTTTATTAATATTTTTAATTTCTTTTTCGTAATTTACAGTTTACTTTTGTGGAGTGGATTTTTTTCATTTCCATAATTTATTTTGCCATTGTTGCTATAGATTACTTTTATTTTACTAAATTGTTGACTTTTGCGTACTGTATAATAATTATATTTTGTATCTATATGACTTAATTTCTGCGTTTAACTATTGTTTATTATTTAACGTACTGTGTAATTTATGTTAATTGTAAATAAAGTATGTGACAACCATAATAAAAAGCAGCATTATATTTGTTGATTTGTAGTTCGTGAATAGGCCAAAATGAAGTTTTACTACTACTACATTGATACTCTAGTTGTCATTGTTGGTGTTCTGGTGAAACTGAAATAAAAACTAAACGCTTTTTTGCTGTAGTTGTCGTCGTCATAATCATTCTCGTTAGCAAAATCAATGTCATGAAAGAATTGAAAGAAATCATCATCATCTTCACCATTCGCATTGGCAGAATGAATGTCATGAAAGCATTAAAACAAAAAATAGAAATATTTGTATTGTAATTTCATTACAGATCAAGTCTGTGTTTAATCATTAACCGTCGTTTAATTTTTCAGGCAGGTATAAAAGTATTTTTAACATATTCCCCCCCCCCCCCACCGGCCCACCCCACACCGGATCCACCCCTGCAGAGTGGTTTTCATCATATATCTTGTTTAATACAAAGTGTACATTGTTTGATTCTTTGGGTAAATATCGGCTCTCCGATATAAGCAATAGTGTAAGTCAAGTCCAATATATTGGTATTTCTGATGAGAGTATGTAGTAGAGATTTTAAGTACTGGTAAAATAATAGCACGTTGAAAAATCAGGATTGTAGGCCTACATAGTTTTTCTAAAAGTATCTGTTTGGCAAAGTTCAAAGAAACCGTTAACATTGATTTTGGTGGATTCTTGTCTTTGGTCGCTTTTTAGATGAACACTTAGGTTGAATCGACGTCAAGCAATCCCTCTCTGCTGTAAAGATCGTTGTTGTAACAGTGAACAGTATGAAAAGAGGAGAAATAAAAGTAAAGTATAATAAAATCAAGTTGCCTAGTCCCTTATACTATATAGTGTTGCTTTAATAACAATAATTAAAAACAGTTTAAAAAGAATAATTGAAAAGCATTGAATGATGAATGATGTTAAGCCTATGGACCATGGTATGGATAATCGCAACAACAAAGAAATCAATATAAATGTTAAACATTAAACAAATTTATGGCAACTATAGTTATTAGGCAGTTTTCGCCGCACGACGTTAACCATAACGTTAATGGATGACATCATAATCTATTCATCTTGCATTGCAGAGTACATTAATTTCAGGATTTTAAGTGCTCAACGTACATTAGTTATGGGGTTTGCCCATGCGTAAGTGGCGGAGCTATCGCACTGCATGTTGGATACTAATGTTAAAGTTAAGGTTAATGTCGTGCAGCAACTACCTACTAACTCAATCAATGGGGAAGGTAACCCTTTTAGCTGAACCTGCAGGTCAGCTGATATGAATGCGGGCCCTAATAACCCTTTGTGGGTTATAAACAGTGTATAAACAGCACCTAGGCCTAGGCTAAGAACCTCGTAATTGTTTTACTAAGGCAAGCATTTACTGAGATTTGAAAAAAAAAAAAAAAAATTACAGCAATCATCCTTGAAACAATTGTCAGCCTATCAAATTTTATTTGACAACAATGGTGAAATATCCTAAATAATAAAATATGGTCATGACGACATCACATCATGGACAAATTACAGGTACGTGTAGGCCTAGTATAGGCGCACCATAATCATCATCATTGTTGTGTGTGCTGACAAAGTTAATGTAAAAAAATAGGAATGGAGATGTAGGCCTACTGCGATCTATATCATAAAGAGACAAAAACAAGTAACAATTTTGCTACTTGTTTTTAAGGGGAGGGGGAATCACCACTCCACGAGGGGAAAATATTCATCCAACTTTTCTAGAGCGAAATTTTGCTTAGATTACGAATCTGAAGTGTGATCAGCCAGATTCAGATGCGTCTTCCAGATATCAAGGTCAAAGTTCAAATTGACTAATTATAAAAAATACTATAATAAACAAACATTAAACCTAAAATCTGTTGTTTTAGTTATACTTTTAGATAATATGATTGAAATTCAATTCAATTCAATTTCTCTTTTATTTCAGACAATGTCCATATCAAAACAAATACAATTAAAGCAAATGAGATTGAAATACAGGAGAATATGTATGTATACACTGAGGCATTTGTCTCAGGCTTACATAAACTAGCAACAAAACAAAAATAAAATAGGTATACCTATTTTACAGATTTCAATAGTAATCATCTTAATGTAATAAATAATTCCATTTTAATATCATTTTTGAATTTTCAATTAGATGATTAACAGTGGACTTTATCAGACTTTTTTCCGATAAATAGAGTCGGCACATAAATCCATGTACTGATTTTCTAATATACCGGTACTCATAAAAAGATGGGACACCACAAGAGACAAACATTTCTTTGGCACTACACGACCTTGATTTTCCTAGGAGTATCCTTAGTGCGTTGTTATAGCAAACTCTTAAAGAATCTATGCTTTTGTGTTTGTAGCTGGACCATAGGCAGTACATATTAGTACAGTAGCTCCTAAATAAAATGCATTCAACTTGATCTGTGTACTTATAGAATCGTCTTCTGAGAGTATTTGCGCATATACATAGAGACCTATATTGTAGTGATATATCAAAATCATCATTCAGTCAGTTGTGAGTACGTGGCCTAAATATGTAAACGACTTTACATAATTTAAACATTTGCCACATAGGGTAGTAATGGAATCACCCTGGAGTTTTCGTCCCTTTGGACAGAAACACATACACATCAACTTTTTACAGTTAAATAAAATATCATGAGTAGAAGCATGGGCGGTATGGTTTCCCAACCTCTAGGTTGGGGTTTCAGTCTCTCGCTGTACTCCCTTTTGTCCTTGAGCAAAGGCACTTTATCTTCATTGCTTATCCTGTAGTCGCCTGTCGTAGGTAGACCATACAGGTCCTGTATGGTAAATGTTATGCCCTCCCAATTTCATCAAACCATCAGTGCATGGGCTCTCTTAACCCAGGAGTATAAATTGGTACCTGGTGGGGTTGCCTACTCCTGCGATGTTTACCAGTAGCAACACTTAAAACATGAGGACCTAATGACCAGGGAAAAAGAAGCACTTTGTATCTACAAAAAAACAAACCAAAATGGTATAAACAATAAAATAATAATAATTATAATAAATTGTTCCCCATATTATTTCATTATGCAATGTTAATGACAAAGTATTCCCTTTTTTATGGAACATAGCTTTATATTGGATGAACGTAGCACGAATAGAGTAACGACTTAGAATTAATAGTGCATGTTTATGCTATGTATTAGATTACTATATGAAATTACTCAAAAAACAAAGGAAACAAAATCCCCATTGTTAAGCTTTAACATTGACAGGATTGGTTTTTGAAGTAACACATTCAGTAGGCCTATACTGACATTTACTTTAAGGATTCAGGGGAGAAAATCTGGTTTATGGCTCAAAAGGTATTTAAAATATGAAGTTGAATGAATTTTTCTTACTTTGAAACTGCTGGACTTGTTGTGATACAGAACAATTATAAAAAGTGTCCCAAAGGAGGGGTTCTACATTATTTAAAAAGCACTGGATCCATTAGATACTGTAATGTATTCAATGTTTTATTTTTTATGGTGATCCATGAATTACAGTTAAAGGTTTACTTACTAAACGTCGTGTAAGTAAACATTTCATTATGAATTGATTTAAAATTTTAATACGTTTCACTCTTTTAATATATACTCTTTATAGTTTGCATCATGCAATTCTTGTTTTTCATATTTCAAGTTGAAGAGTAAAGTGGGGAGTCATATTATGTAAATTGTAACTTGGAATAACAAGTAATATCTTGGTTTAAGCAATATACATCTCTCTTTTTTTAGTTAAGAATTGAATTTTATATTTGTCGCTTTTTGATTGTGTATAAAATGTGTTTATCTTTGGATGCACTAACGTGTTCACTGTTTTAAATATTATTACTACAGTCCAGCTAACTAATCTAGAGTGTAGAATTGCCATTCCAACAGCATGTAAAAGCAAACTAATGTACATACTCTTCTTTACCATTACAGAAAAGAAATCAGAGTATCCTTCAACAAGTTGAGGTATGTCTGAATAGAGACTTCAAACTGATTGATTGCCCAGGTTTGAAGAAGTTTAAGAACAAGAGATTAAGAGGCCCTAGTGAATGCAGTACCAAACATGAACTTGTTTATCCACCATTTGAAGAGTATAATATTGTATAAACTATATATATTATTTTTTTTATATTATATATAACTATATGATCTAATTCGACAAGAAAACAAATAAAAATATATCAAAGTATCTATGCATAGACCTTTGTAGCCATGGTCCACTGAGTATGTACGTATTTATTTATGCGTGTACGCACATATCTTAAATGATCGCGTCTCATTCATATGCGACATGTGCGTTGACATCTAATGTATTAGATATATAACATATATATATAATAAAAATAATATTGATAATAACAATTGTGAACTCAAACTGCACAATACCGATGGCATAACCTACATGCCATAACCTGATACAGGGCTCAAAATATAATGTAGTTCTTTGTTGGAAAGCTCTCCTGATGTTGAATAAATTTTGACAATCATGTACCTGCAACTGTAGGTTTTCCATAATATTGTTCATGTTCCAAATAAAGCTAGAGAATAGACACGATAACAATACGACAATGACATATCATCGCTTAGTTTGTATTTTCAACACTGCACGCATCTGTATTGTGTCTTCGTGTTGTAATCGTTTCTAGTGTAAATGTAGCCTTAAGGCACGTTTAAAATAAGACTATGGTGGGGGGGGGGATACTGAAGAATGATGAATAGATTATGATAATGCATTATAGCCAAATCATTGTTTGAGATGGAAAAAATTCTATTGATTCTCCTGTGTAAATGTATGAACTACACAACAAAAAAATATACTAATTATGAAGCTAGGGAATATATAAAAAATGCAACGACTAGGTTTTAGATTAGAGGACATAAAAGAAATCATTAACATTTCTACCTGAATTACTAAAAATATATAATTTGAGCTCCCTTTAAAGGAAAGTCCTGGATTCGTTTGTTTGTTTCCTTATTTCTATTTACATCATTATGTGACCTGCAAAATTTGTTCATCAGGTGTTTATGAAATAACTGAAATAGATAATAGGATGCAATTAGATGTATATTTACCATAAATAAAGAACAGAACAAATTTATTTTAAAGTTACCATATGTATTTGAACAGATTGAATTGAATAGTGTTATCTATATTAATTATATCCAGTACTTCTGTATATTCTGATTGAGTGCTAAATGTTACCAAAGGCAGCTTTTTTGAGTTGTTGAAAAACTGTCAGTATATAATCCAACCCAAATACCTTCACATAGAGACAAAAAGGATCTAGCTAACAGGTTTTCCTGTTCTGGATTCGTTTGTTTGTTTCCTTATTTCTATTTACATCATTATGTGACCTGCAAATACACTATATTAATTGTATCCAGTACTCCTGTATATTCTGATTGAGTGCTAAATGTTACCAAAGGCAGCTTTTTTGAGTTGTTGAAAAACTGTCAGTATATAATCCAACCCAAATACCTTCACATAGAGACAAAAAGGATCTAGCTAACAGGTTTTCCAATTTCTTTCATGAAAAAATAAATAAGTTTCGCCATGCTCTGATTATATCAGAGCCCCGGAAGTTATCAGTGGACCTTGACGAAAACTGCCATAGCAATTTTACAAGATTTGAACAGCTAAACCCAAATGAAGTTCTTAAAATTTAAAGTGCTCAAGTAGTAAATCTTGTCAACTGGATCCACTGCCTGCATCTACAATGAAGTTATGTCTGGATATTATTCTGCCAACAATCACCGATATCATTATTTACTTACTATGAACGTTGGACAAAAGAGATGAAGCCGTTCTAATACTTCTGGACTTAACGGCAGCATTTGACACCATTGACCACAGAATTTTAGAAGTTCGCAAATTATGCATCATTATTGGGATGAATCATCAGATCCTATTGCAGCAGATTGGGGAATACGTCGGGGATCTGTTGCTGGTCCAATTCTTTTTATTGCATACTCATCTCCTATTGAAGACATTGTTAAAGCTCATGGTCTATCCTGCATTATGTATGTAGACAACACGCAGTTATATTTTACGTTGAAGCCCAATGGAATATTAGCGGCTCTAGACCTGTCTCTTATACACATCTTGAAGCTAGGGAATATATAAAAAATGCAACGACTAGGTTTTAGATTAGAGGACATAAAAGAAATCATTAACATTTCTACCTGAATTACTAAAAATATATAATTTGAGCTCCCTTTAAAGAAAAGTCCTGGATTCGTTTGTTTGTTTCCTTATTTCTATTTACATCATTATGTGACCTGCAAAATTTGTTCATCAGGTGTTTATGAAATAACCGAAATAGATAATAGGATGCAATTAGATGTATATTTACCATAAATAAAGAACAGAACAAATTTATTTTAAAGTTACCATATGTATTTGAACAGATTGAATTGAATAGTGTTATCTATATTAATTATATCCAGTACTTCTGTATATTCTGATTGAGTGCTAAATGTTACCAAAGGCAGCTTTTTTGAGTTGTTGAAAAACTGTCAGTATATAATCCAACCCAAATACCTTCACATAGAGACAAAAAGGATCTAGCTAACAGGTTTTTCAATCTCTTTCATGAAAAAATAAATAAGTTTCGCCATGCTCTGCTTATATCAGAGCCCCGGAAGTTATCAGTGGACCTTGACGAAAACTGCCATAGCAATTTTACAAGATTTGAACAGCTAAACCCAAATGAAGTTCTTAAAATTTAAAGTGCTCAAGTAGTAAATCTTGTCAACTGGATCCACTGCCTGCATCTACAATGAAGTTATGTCTGGATATTATTCTGCCAACAATCACCGATATCATTATTTTTTCATTATCTCCTAAACAGGGCCTGTTTCCAAGTGACTTGAAAACCGGACCCGTACTACCGCTTTTCAAGAGACCAAGTCTGGATTCAGAACTTATGAAGAACTACCGGCCTATTTCCAACTTAACCTTCTTGGGAAGGTAATTGAGCGATGTGCAATGCAACAATTTGTCACTTACCTTTCTGAAAAAGACTTGTTTGGTAGTTCTCAATCAGCATATCGAAATCATCACAGCACGGAGACAGCTTTGACTCGTGTCTATAACGACTTACTATGAGTCGTGCTTCTGGACTTAACGGCAGCCTTTGACACCATTGACCATAGAATTTTGCTTGATTGCTTGAAGAACAAGTACGGGTTTAGGGTTCCACGCTTAGTTGGTTTTCTTCTTACTTCAAAGATCGCAAACAACGCATCATTTTTGGGGATGAATCATCAGACCCCTTTCCAGCAGATTAGGGAATACCTCAGGGATCTGTTGCTGGTCCAATTCTTTTTATTGCATACTCATCTCCTATTGAAGACATTGTTAAAGCTCATGGTCTATCCTGCATTATGTATGTAGACAACACGCAGTTATATTTTACGTTGAAGCCCAATGGAATATTAGCGGCTCTAGACAATCTGGAAAGATGTATCTGCGACATAAACATTTGGATGATGGACAATTTCTTAGTACTCAATGAAAGTAACAGTCTCCTAATCAATCTTCCTGATAAAGACGTATCAAAACTCCAGAGAATCCAGAACTCTGCAGCTCATATTACATGTCTTACTAGAAAATATGAACACATAACACCGATTATTATTGATTTGCACTGGCTACCGGTTCACTTTAGGATTCAATACGATGCACTACTCCTTACATTCAAAGCTGGTATGGCTCCATCTTACATCTGCGAACTTGTTAACCCTTATATTCTATCCCACTCCCTTTGTTTATCCACGAATGATCTGCTTACTATCTCATCTGTGCGTACAAAGATTTATGGTTAAAGGGCTTTTTCCATCGCTGGCACAAAATTATGAAATTCCTTGCCACAATATCTTCGTAGTGCAAAATCTACCAATTATTTTAAAACACAAGTAAAATCTTACTTGTTTAAAATAGGGTCATTCCGCGCAGACTCAACAAATGGGATGGCTGGGTACCGTCTCAGATTTTCTTGACATCTGCTATGGTGTTATTTGCTTTCTGTCGTGTGTTATAAACAGAACTGAAATACTAAACTTTCAATCAGTTGAACAGGTCCTGTCGCACGTGCTCAGCCCCGTGAATTCGCTTTGGGTAATTCATCACTCTCCGGACGTGCACACTTGTTCAGCACGAATTTCTACAGTTATTTTCTTAGCGAATGGTGTTTAAAGTGCGTTTACTGTAAGAAGTTCTTGAATTTAGGATTAGGATTGAAGATATTTCATCAATTATGTTGAAAAACAATGTTGGTCGGTAGCAGATCAGTGCCGGTAGGATGGTGCCGTACGTTAAAATTTTGCTGTAGAGTAGATTATAAAAGTTGTAGGCCTACAACTAAGGCCTAATATAATAATAGACCTAAATATTACTAATAATGTTATGCCTAATAGTAACGAATGCACAAGATTAAGTAATGATGCACAAGATTGTTCATCAAAATATTGATCTAAAGTTTGATAACCACTTGGAATTCAACAGACGAGCAACTGCTGCTAGCTGCACTAGGAACCATAACCCCCTTTCATTAAAGATACCGAAGGCCAAGACAAATCGCTGTCTTTACTCTTTTTTCCATAACATAGCTAAAGACTGGAATACCCTCCATTTTTCTTCTACTTCAATCAATAATTCTACTGCCTTTTGCAAGCTTATTGGTAACTCCGACTAGCCCTCCTCTGTCGCCACTATTCAAACATTGAGTGATACTCCAGCCGGTGTTTTTCAAGTACCCTATCAAGATCGAGATCAAGAATAATAATAAATAATACAGTATAGTATAATGATGTGTTGAGAATAGAGCATAACCATTAAATTAATAATATGGTACATCATTCGTTTATACAACATTTATAAACACCTAAATATAGGCCTATATGAAATTAGATGCATTAACGTCTCCGCACAAGGTACACCCATCGAACGCTATATTGCTTTACTGTGTATACATGTCAACTTTGCCACAAGAGTCGCTGGACAACAACCCTGGACAGGCGGTAATCCACCCCGCGCCGCAAAAGAACCGAGCTAGTTATTCGGGCGCGCCGGCACCACAAAAGACACTGTCACATTTAAGCAAAGATAAGACCATTGTTGTACGCGCACCTCTGCTTTTACTTTACCGGTACTTCCTCATACTCGTGAAAATTCCTTTTCTTACAATCAAATTTTACACGTATAAGAAGAACTTAATTTCCCACGAGCGTAATTGGAGGTCTTCGTTTTTCGGGTCTTCGGTCTTCGAAGAACGAAGACCCTTGAAAATTTCACAGACGCCCAAAAAAATTCGTAATTTTGGTTTTGTGACAGCCTGGCGTATTATCATCAAAATGAAAGAGAAAAATAGGGGTCTTCGTTTTTGGGTCTTCAGTCTTCGTTTTACCCCTGGGATAAAGTTGCCGCATGTGTTGAACAAGACATGTTTAATACAGTAGTAGTGCATTATTTACATGGTGAGCATATAATAATAAAAGCAAGCAAACTAAGGCAGCAGTGCTTCTTAATTTAGTAGGATCAGAGGCTGAACGGGAACGATCATTCTCATACTTAGCTGCGAGACCAAAAACCCTGATGGACAAGGTGAGCTCCTAGCCGAATCACCAAACGGCTTGAAGCGGAAATTAAGAGAGTTGTGTAATCCTCGCACAAACGTTATTCTGGAAAGATACAGATGTAATTCAAGGGTACAACTAGAGGGAGAGCCATTCCAGAAATTCTTGTCAGATCTCAGAAACAAGGTAAAACTTTGTGAGTATCGAGATTTAGAAGATCAATTACTCAGGTTTACATCTCCCTGCTCAGAGACAGGCTAGTAATAGGGATCAGGAAAGAAAATGTACGCAAAATAATGTTAAGAAAAAGTGAATTAGCACTGGCCAAGGCTGTACAGATTTGTCAAATTCATGAGCTGAGGTTGATGCTAAGATAATTAATCCAGAAAAGAAAGAAACAATAGATTTAATAGCAAGAAAACCAAACTTCAAACAAGGACACAAAAATGTTGTCAGTAGAAAACCAAATGCTTACATGGCTAAAAAGCAAGAAACTGATCAAAAGTGTAAGAAGTGTGGTTACAAACATAAAGGTGTTGGCAACACATGTCCAACATATGGGAAACAATGTAATAAGTGGAATAATTTTGGATCAGTCTGTCTGACCCCTGCTGTACATCGTCCATGGTCAAAATCGGTGAATGAAATTGACAAGGTGGAGGAAGAATTTGAAACATTTTACATTGAATCGGTACATACAGAAGGGAAAGAAGACATCCGCACTGATATGATGATTGATAATAAAACATTAAGACTAAAAGTTGACACAGGTGCAAAGTGCAATATGATGAGCTAAACAACATTGGAATACCTGAATAAAGAAGAATGCCTTGATTCATCAAAACAAGTTAAGCTTGTTGGTTTTGGAGGCCAAGCTATTAGATCTTTGGGAAGTGCAACATTAATTTGTGAGCAGTCAGATAGGAAATTTGATATGGAATTCCAAGTTGTAGACAAGGAAGTATCGACGTTAATGGGCTTGAAAGATAGTCTGTGTTTAGACTTGAAAACAAATTGTACAGAATATGCCCGTGTAAAGTTGTGATCTTGGTTAAATAAAGACAGAAGACTGATTAGAATTCAAGATAAGTTGTTTATTCAAGATGTCTGCCAACTCGCATCATCTGTCCTTTTCTTAACCGAGGGCTCCTTTAAATAGAGGGCTCACTTTCAATCATGATATTATTACATCCCCCTTTAATAAGTAATGAATCACATTATGATTGACTTCGCAATGTGTTTGGGGTTGTCTGGTTTCATAGAATAATAATGATTATTAAATGGTCCGCAAAGTCCGTAAATGTTCCAACTGTTACTGATTCTTTGTCCTTTAAAAAAACTATCATCATCAAAAACTAAAAGTCAACACATACAACATATGTACAGTAAGCTTATTTGAGAGGAGAGGTTACCAGCACTTCACTCTCTATCACACCAATTGGGATCATATCTATGCTTCTTCTATTAAGCGTTGTGGTGGTTTAGTCTTTCTCTCTGGACGAGAAGTATTGGTATCATTACTATTTTGTGGCTGATTGGTGGTGCGATTGTGTTCCTGGGGTGTTTTTTTTTTAAATTTATTTATTCATTCTGAAGTAATTATAAGTAAAATACATTCAAAGATAAAAACACGGAAAAGTACAAAAAAGCAACTTATTTCCACTGTGGTCCCTTATTTCCACTGTGTCTCGAATGTGTTTGCAGTTGCGTCTTAATACTGTCTATTGGTGTTGATCGTAATATCAGTAGAGCCTTTTGGGGGTCACCTCCATCTGCTTTTGTCTTCTTAAGTATTCGCAATTGAACTGTTTGAATTTGTCTTTCTGCCAGTCCGTTAGACTGGGCATATCTCAGCGATGACATGACAATCTCAAAATTCCAATCCGCTGCGAAGTCTTGATACAAAGGGGCCCATGTAAGTGATTACACCAAGTACGTGACGTAGCTTCGTTAGGTTTGTCAGTTATATTAGCCCGAAGAACTTTAATTACGGTTTATTTATGCTGCATTTACACGAGTTAAACTGTAGACCATATTTCTTTGCAGCTTCCATGAGGTTTCTCAGATTCCTATCATGCTCGTCTTTGGATTTACCAAAAACTGCTATGTCATCTGCGAAGCTTATAATACCAGGGCAGCCTTCAAGCAACTGGTCCATTTTCTTTTGGAACACATCTTGTGACATAACCAGCCCAAATGGCATTCTGACGAAACAATAACACCAAAATAGAGAGTTAAACAGGGCCGGCGGAACGTTTTTGAAAGTGGGTGGGGGGGGCCCACTTATATAAGAAGGCGCGCAACAGGGG